GTATTATGGGCTTATGGCCTTCGGTTAGTTTTATTTTAAATAGCCCCGCTCAATTTGGGCTTGCCTTGCAGTTCTTAGATTCTACCTAAAACTTTATGATCCAAATAACAGTGTTTTTATTTATTTATTTATTTATTTTACTTTATATGGAAATGCTATAATCATAATATTATTTAAATTTGTAAATTTACAATCATAATTTATCAATAAATAAGTGTAATATATTATTAAATAAATAAATACATATAATATCATAGGTAGACTATTAAATAAAAAATTAATTATAAAATGATATATTATGATAAAAACTTATAATAACATGTAAAATTATAATTATAGCATTTTCGTATTTGCACAAAACATGCCTCTTACATATTAAATTACACAACTACTAGCTCAAGTGCAATTTTTTGTTTTTTTTTGGAGCTACATTCACTTTGGAAAACCTGGAATCTATTCTAAAACTGCTCATCAAGGTCTCAATGAAGCTTTACCAATTACCATCAAGTAGTCAATTCCACTTTGCTCCCATGAAGATGACACTGGGTGTAGGACTGGGCAGTAAATGGGAATGCTGGTGGGAGTTGGTATACCCTACATTGTTTTGCCTTTGGTTTGGTCATGATTCTTGTTGCTCACTAGTGGGAGTTACATGTCATTTTTCTCATTTACCATTTCAAGTAACAAAACTAAAGACATTAGAGGTCAAGCCTAGTGATGTGCTAGCAAAATAGTTTATGCATTATTGGATTGACCTTACTTTGGGGTGTTCATAGCTAATCTAATTCAATAAATCTGGTCCAAACTAACTCAATTCAATTAAAAACCAAACCAAACAAATATAAAATTAAGTTGGTTTGAATTATAAAAATTTAAAACCAATATAACTAATTTGATTTGTAGTTTTACATTCGAACTACCCAAACCACCTGATTACATAATAAAATCCAATTATAACTTAACTTAGTTAAATGATATAGTTTATTTTTGTACTATTTTAATTTTTTTTCTTATTTCACAAATAATAACTCCATTAACTTAATCAAAAAATAAAAGTAAAGCATCCTCATATTCCCTAATTTACTTTTTTCTTAATTGTGTACTTTAACTTTAATTCTAAATTTCTAATTCGTTTGTAACTCTACCCCTCAAAACTACTCTACGACTTTACTCTTAGAATCCTAAATTTCTAATTTGTTTCTAAATTGATATTTTGATTCTCCTAGTTAAGTCTTAAAGATGTATCATTCCAAAAGTTTTAAAACTTCATAATAGAACTAGCCTTGATATTTTGTTATTCTTAGATGTTTGATTAAGGAGTTTTAAATCTTGATTATAAATGTTTTTAATCAATTTTAGCGATACTTATTTTAAATTTTATTCGCTTTTAACAATGTTTAAAAGATGGGATTGAGTTATTAGCGGATTAAAAAAAAACTAATTTTAACATTTAAGAATTATTTGCACTATGCTTGAAACTTGAATTCATCTTTTATTATTCTTGGTCCTTTGGTGATGTAACTAAGAAAATTTCTAGATCTTTTCAATCTTTAGAATTATAAAGGAGTATAAGATCTTATTTGTAATTTTTGCTCTTTTTAATTATATTACTACTGATTTGGATGCTAATGCATTTTATAGTTACGTTTCCTACTTAATGTTCAATTTTGTTACATTATCTCATATATTTAATAGTATTAAAAACTGATTAATTTGACCAAACCACATTGATTCAATTTAAGTTGGATTGATTTAGTTATTATATAATAGTGAATTGGATTGGTTTAAAAAATATTAAAACCCAAACCAAACCACACTGCAAATACCCCCTAAACTTGGTTATTCTAGATTATTGGACAAGGATATTTAGATGATTTAGCTGATGTTGGATTTTATACATAATTTGACCTTATTGGTTGTTTGAATTTAAAGCATAGGTTATGGTAGAGTTTTTTTTTTTCATTAATAGATTTTAGTGGTCTTTTATAAGTTATGGATTTTGCATAATGTAATAAACATATTTTGAGCCTTATTCACACGTGGAACCCACTCAGAAGTGCACGGTGGTGTGATGGATTTATATGACACTCTTAGGCAAATCTAACATTAATAAAGTATGTGAGAGATGTAAGAGATTTAGGTCAACACTTATTAACCCATATTGATGCATTTTAAAATTGTGAAGCTTGATAGTCAAAGTGGACAATATCAATAACTAGTTAAGCCATTATATATGGTATCAAAATCACCTCATGTGACCTAAATTTCAATGAAGACCTTCAGTCCCAAAAGGGGGTATGTGTGACACCCCTAAATAAATCTTACATCGACAAAGTACAAGACAGATGTTTGGTATATAGGTCAATACCTGTTAATCTCAATTAATGTGTTTTAAAACCACAAGATCTGATGGGTCAAAATAAACAATATCAGTAGTGGGCCGAGTAGTGACAAGCTTTTTGGAGCTCCATGTTCTTGTTGCATGGGGGCCTTTTAAGCCTTAGTTGGTGTTGGACTACTATCTTAACACCAATTTAGGAAGTAGGGAGAATGGATTGATTGTGATGACACACTTCAAAAGATTACGCATAATTATATAGGATCGGGGTATTATGAAATTCAAGTTGCAAACATAAATCATCAATTACTATTATCAAAATAAATAAATAAATAAATCATCAATAATAACCACATATTTTTTTTTTTGGTACTATCTTTCTATTATTTGAAAACTATATTAGATCCTGATTAATTCAAAATTAAGCTGAAGTAAACCTTGTAAAGGGGAAGTGCTTCCAACACTTATTTCTCCATTCATAATACTCAAATTCGAAATTTTATTTAACAAAAATCAAATTCATACCACTGAAAGTAATAAATTGTCGGTATAACCATATATTCTTTAAATCAAGAACAATTTCAAGAACCTAAGAGTCGTCTTTTTTTTTAGACCAATTTGTGGGTAAGATTAAAGCGAAGAGAGGTCACACAAGGCCCAAGATAGACATTTATATGCATATAATAAC